CAACTTTTGTTGCTTGAGTCGACTTTTATAGTCGTCATGATTAGTCGGCGATGTGGCCGTTTCGGAAAATTCAGTTTATCCAATAATTATGTAAGAAAACAAATAAATGTATCGACATCTCTGAAGAGAATATTCCAAATCCATTTCATTACTGAATATGATTTGATCGTGGTTCAGTACAAAAAGCAAATTTGAGAACATTACTTAAGCATAAAAACGCTTGAGATGGGTAACATGCCAAGATCGCGGCAGTTGTCGTCCTTCCATATCTTCAAGTTCATATGCGCCTCTCTCGAGCACCTTGGTGACTGTGTATGGTCCTTCCCAGTTGGCTTCAAGCTTCCCGACATGTTTAAGGGCATCTGCTCGCTTGAGGACAAGATCTCCTACTTGAAACTGTCTTGTGCGGACTTTCCTGTCAAAGGCTGCCCGCATCTTTTGCTTGTATTCTACGGACCGCAGCCAAGCCTCCTCTCGCATTTCTTCTATCATGTCGAGAGCTTCTTTTGCTAGCTCTTCATTGGTCCTTTCATCATAGAATGTCGACCTGTGTGATTGCAATCCAACCTCGATGGGCAGGAGGGCGTCCATTCCATAAACCATGTGGAACGGTGATTGCCCCGTCGAACTTCTCGGGGTCGTCCTATAGGCCCATAGGACCGTTGTCAGCTCATCGACCCAGGCGCCAGATGCTTTCTCCAGTCTTTTCTTCAGCCCTTGTAAGATGGTCCTGTTTGTCACTTCAACTTGGCCATTCGCCTGAGGGTGCGCTACGGAGGCGAATCGCTGTTTGATCCCCATGTCGACACACCAAGCCTGGATCCGCTTTCCTTGAAATTGCGTCCCATTGTCTGAAATTAAGATCTTTGGAATCCCAAATCGGCAGCAAATGTTATTGAACAAGAAATGTATCATTTTGCCTTGAGTGATTTTCGCCAGAGGTTCTGCCTCTACCCATTTGCTAAAGTAGTCGACGGCCACCACCATGAATTTTCGCTGTCCTGTCCCCATTGGCAAGGGGCCTACCAAGTCGATTCCCCATTGAGCAAAAGGGATCGGGCAGCTGATCGTCGTCATCGTTTCGGCTGGAACATGGGGGATTTGACCATGGCGTTGGCATTTATCGCATTTTTGTACTAATCGCTCGGCTGCTTTTCGGATATTAAGCCAATAATAGCCTGCCCGAAGGGCTTTACCAGCTAGGGCTCGCGATCCTACGTGTGCTCCGCAGCATCCTTCATGGATTTCCCTCAAGACATGGTCCCCTTCTCTCTCAGAAACGCATCGCAGGTGGGACCCGATCATCGACTTCTTATATAAGACTCCTTCGATCTCAAAATATTTACTCAAATATCGGGCCACTTTCTCGGCCTCCTGTTTATCTCCTTCTGGCACTCGACTTTGTAACAGCTCGCGAATCGCCTTTCGCCAATCTTGGTTTTCGTCGACCTCCATTGTCTCACTGAGGGCACTCCCTTCCAAGTGTAGTGTGGTAATACGATTTCCCATTTTTCCTTCATTTGAGCTCGTAATTCTCGCGAGCCAATCGGCCCGCTTATTCTCTTCTCGAGGTACTTGCGTTAGCTCAAAGCTGTCCAACCCTCGCACTAGGCTCTGAATTTCTTCGACATACTTCGTCATCCGACCTTCTTTGATTTCGCAATTCCCCAATACTTGCCCCACTACCAGTTGTGAGTCAGAATGCGCCATGATTTCCGTCGCTCCGCCCGCGATTGCCAGTTGGATTCCCTTAATTAGGGCCTCATATTCTGCTTCGTTGTTGGATGCTTTAAACCCCATTATGATGGCAAAGTCGAGCTGCTCGCCTTCGGGGGACATTAGGGTTACCCCTAGACCAGATCCCTTAGCTGACGAGGACCCGTCGACGTGCATCATCCATTTCTTGCTTTTCCCTTTGGTCCCTTCTTGG